GCCCAATGCCGACCTGGGTCAGATTGGGATGTATATATATATATATATAGATCATTGAAGCATCAATCAAACGCCGAGCTTTCGACAGTGACTTGTTGATAGCACAACCTTCCTTTAATCTGTCCCCGCTTGCACCTGTTTGTCCGGCCTGGAAGACAATCAAATGGTAATAGCTCATCTGACCAGTTTCTTGCAAGCTAAATCAGTACAAGCTTGGCGCTGCACCTTCTCACTCCCAGCCAAATCCACCAAATTGATCAAGGACAACTTTTGGCCTTGCTGGCCACCTGCCTCATGAGCACTCCCGGCAGTAACACTCCTGCGTTAGTGGCATTCCCTGCCTGTGAGACTTGCTTAAACTCAATTGTCAGGACTGTGTGGGCCTGAGAAGCTGAAACTAATGTACCCATTCAACGTCGGCACAAACACGCTGAGCCCTAAATTCTCGTCAAGTGGGATCTCTTTCTGTCAAACAGAGAACCAAGAATGATTGTCAGCACAGATGAGTCAAACAGCGACAAAGAAGATTCAGTATGCACAGGCCCTTACTGCAGAACTGATTGAAGGGTTCGCTCATGTTCACTTCAGAGAGGTTGCTGCACAGACTAAAGAGGATGACGATGGATGACAACTACCTGTATCCTCCACCGCTTTTCAGTGCTTAAAAAAGTGCTAGAAAAAGTAAGGACAAAAGGATATCTGAGAGGCTGAGAGACATTTCTACATTGTCCTTTCTTAAATGGCCTTGGCAAACTGCAGAATCATAAGCTTTCAGCAACAGAGTAATTACCATCCAATAACAGTTTTAAAGGGTTAAAAGGAAACATATCGAGTTCCTGGGCCTTATTGCTTGAGCTATCCCCCAAATGATGTCATGAGATGTCATGTCTACCTGACGAGGACCCTGTTTGTCCAGCCGAAGCCAGAAAAAAGACTAAGTCAGCAGCTCGACTTGAGGTGGCATTCATCCTCAATCAAGCAATTCATAATTGTTGCTCTTCATGGGGGAATGGAGTTCAGCTCACACAACAGATTCCAACGAGTCTTCACAATTTGTCCAATCGCCGAGATTCAAGGTGGCACCCACAGTCCGGTTTTCCGTCCCTTCCTCGACAACGGCCTGGCATGCTTGAGCTTGAATGACTATTCAAACGATCAACATACGTGTCCTGGTGGTCATTGTGCCTCAATCGAAGCGTATGAATCCACCGGTCGCCGCGAAACGCCACCGATGTAGATTCCGAGCCTCAGCGACAGGACTTTCTGTGGTCTTTTCTAAAAGCTTGAAATGAAGGTTCCTAGTAGCTGCTCGTTACTAGCAAGGCCAGGAGCTTCTAGTAGCGTCCTTGCTCCTAGTAGCGATGCCCTTTGTTCCTAGTAACTTCTTCTTACTAGTAACTTATGCAGCTATCCCAAGAGAGGGACTGTTGTGACTCGCGAATTTCGAGACCTAAGTTCGCAGAGGCAAAAGAATCAGCAGCCGTAGCAAGCAGCAACAACAACAACAAACAAAAGACTGGAGACAATTCAACACGCCAAGCAGGTTGCATCCTTGGATCCTCTACAAGTGGGAACCATGTTGAGCCTACATTTCGCTGCTTCACCTACATGTGGGGAGAATCCATGGGTGTACTCATCCACCTCAGGGGGGATCCACTAAAGGCCTTCGCGTAAAGTGCATCAAAGCAGCCCTTCTTTGGTCGATCTTTTGGAGGGACAAGCAGGTCCTCGAACCGACAAACCATTTCAGCCTGCAACCGAGTGTACGGACCCCACCAGCCTGAACCTGCTCATTGTAGATTTCCACCATTGACCTCTTTCACGGACGGTGTGTGCACTGTGCTGCTGATAACATTCCGTGACTAGCATCACTCCAGCCAAGTCACACCATAACTTCATATGTCAGGTTTGAGTCAGTGTTGGCCTTGGCAGCGACCAAGATCAAATGGTTCGAACACCTCACCTACAGTCTAAGAGAATGACGGATATTCTCTTGAAGATCTCTTCGCATGAAATCGGCACGATGCCCTGCAATTCCCGAGCTCTGGGGAAAATCAATTAGATCGAGTTTTTCACATGGCAAAGCACGGGCACTCCTTGTTGGCACCGTAGCCGACCATGGAATAACTCTTGCCAGCGCCGGTTTGGCCTGCAGCGAACAGTGGTCTGCCACAGCTGCCATACACAGCTCCAAAGCAACTTTGGGTGGTTTCGGAGTCGTTCCAGACTTGTTACAGTAACGTCTTGTGCAGCGTAAGCTTATGTGCTTGGCATGACATATTTGGGTAGGTGACAGTCACTCTGAAAGCTTAAACGAATCAAAAAGAAGCAGAGCTCATGAGCTCAAGGAATAAGATATACAAAACAACTTCAATAATGCAAAATTCATACTTGAAAGAATACCTTCAGAAAGCTGGGTGCGCTGTGATTTGTAACTCGTCACATGCTTGGATTGAGGCCATACGCGAAGAGGCAGCAATGATACCCTTCCCAAGCCTCAAGTTCTATATCGAGCAGCTGAATCAAAGACCTCTCAGAATATTCTTTGACTAGCTGTAGCCGTTCACAAACCTGAGCTAAGTTCGCTGTCCAAAATCCGGCGTCCAAAGGTCTCGAAGACCGTCCTTTGATCAGCATACCTGACAGAGGGGCCACGCTTACCTGGCCATGCCGAGTTGGCACACGAATGGCCTGCTCCCAGGTGCTGCGGAACAATATCCGTCACCACCAACTTCGAAACCATCATGGCCTTGAATTGAAAAAATGTGTTCAGTCCGGTTCCGACCGAATTGCAAATTCAAAGTCCAAAGATCCGCACTCCAAAAGGAAGCATCAAATGTAAACCGCTTTGCTTCCTCCGAAAGCAAGTGTGACGTGGCTGCAACTCGGACAGGTTGGAGACGCAGAACTTTGACAAAGCTGGCACAACTCCTTCGCACTACCCCTGGCCTTCCCCTTTCCAGACTCGATTGCCATTTCTGGCGGGTTCTGAAGAATGGTGGTTGGCCCGTCCACGTCCACACATAGCTGGCCGAAAGCATCGTGAGACACATCGATATTCAGCTGCTAAAGCTGCACATTCAGGTTCAATATAAATCATGAAAATCTTCTTGCTAGCCTGAGCGTTGAGTGCCTTCTCTCTGTCATTGAAAGGGCGGATTCGCACACCAACAACAACCGAGCACTCCTGCACATCTCTCAAAGCCACGGCAAATATTAAGCAAAGACAGTGTGCGAAACGACAAAACGCAAAGACCAAGTTCTGATGAAAAGTCTTTTGTCAAGTCCCTCACTCACGCAACTTTGGGGGTTAATGTTGAGGACCGAAGTACAGTATATAATTGTATGGTTGACTGATGTGACATGGATCAGGGTACTTCAGCGACGAAACCCTGTCAAGTGAGTTGGGGCAAGAAAGTGTGGCGAAGATGAACTGGCATGCGTCGATGTGCGTAACTCAATAAAGATAGAGCCCCTTGTGGTTCAGCGGAGATCAAGTGAGAGATGAATTGAAGGGAAATACAAAAGGGAAACGAAGAAGCCGGGCGATAGCGATCTACAGTATATAATCTCCCAAGCTGGAGTTGAATCCCCCTCCATCTGCGGGAGGGGGGGAGTGGAAGGGTCGCGGTGTCATGGCCTGAAAATCAGGGAATTGGACCCAGAGTTCACAATCCTTGCTAAAGCAATAAAGACTCCAGTTCGCAAGTGTTAGCAACGCCTTGCTTTCGGGACTTCGACAAAACCATGACTCATGACTCGTGACTTTAAAAGTTGGGCGCATCAATGAATAGATCATGTAGTGCTATATATATATATATATATATGTATCCTTTCTGTCCATGTGGGGAGTCCTCTGCCATCTTTGCAGCCTCCACTGAGCACCTGATCCAGCATGCCATGTTCAGGAATCTGACACCGAACAAGTCAGGACACTGCTATTGCATGCAAGGTGCAATCAAGAATGTTCCCACCGCATCTTTGATGCTCTGGGGAGCTGGATAGCCGGATTTGAGCCAAGGGCAGTGCACAAATTGAATTGTCGCACGATTGCTCACTTTGCTGAAAATAGTGTCCCTCCCATCTTGCCTTTTCAAACATAATATGTTCAATATGGCGAGCACAACCCAAAGCCTGACATTGTCATGCCCATGCTACTACAGTAACTGCAACACAACATGTTTTCAGAGGCCACGTTCTTCTTTCCAGGCATAAAACACGGGCTTCAAGCGGGTCCTTGGTAGTTTGCAGCGGAGGCAATTGAACAAAACCCCCGCTGCCTGATGTTCAAGTGGGTCTAGAGTCTAGAATACCTTGCATAAATGAAATCCAGGTGGACATCCTGAATCAAGGGTTATTTGTACCCCTCTCAAGACTGTTGGCTCAAATCCCAAGATAAATTTATGTGGAGGGGTGTCCAAAACCATCTCTGGCATTTGAGCCAAGCTTTCTGATGACGATATAGCAGTAATCGTCTCCGGGATTCAGGCTGAAATGCAACCCAGTCAACCATCCTGAGCGGTTTTGTGCAAGTTCAGCCAGCTGTTTACATGAGTGCTGCGCTGACTGCTGTGGCACTGGCTGCTCTTGACTGCGCCAAGAAATGGCATCAACCTACAGCTGAAGTTCAACAAGGGTTTCTCGGTAGCCCTAGCCAGTAACATGTTATATACTGTAATGAATACAGCAGAACATGTCGCGTCTGGATCTGTATTAGAGTCACTTGTTGCAAGCAGCTCACTTTGCTTCCACAATGCATGGTTCTTGTCCTTCAGATTTGAATTCATTGTGGAGTTGCCCTTTCTAAATTCTGCCTCAGCTGAAAGCCGACGAAGCTCAGCAGGGGTTGACTGGGGCCTCAGAGCCAGAGAGCAACCCAGCGGTCAAGTGAAAGGAGCGCTGCGGTCAAGCCAAACGATGTGCAACACGCAGTTGCCACATGAGGAGAATTTCTGACTCACAACCGATTGGATGTGAAGAGCCATCAAACAATCACGAGAAGTGACTCACGGTAGGCATGAAACAACAACATTTAAAACAACATCCTGAGTCTCCACATGTCCTTGCGCTCTGCAACCGGAGGCGGTCGACAAATCACGACCTAGTTGTGGCTGGTGATAATTGTGCAAGACTTCTGGCAGCTAGCACGTGATGCATCGGCACATGCCCGCCCTTCTCGGCTTCTTGCCCAGTCATCCAGGTCAGGTCTTTTGAACTCCTGTCCAGTCTTCATTCATCCAACAAAGCACAGCAACTTCCGTTAGGTCGATCCCTGGTTTCCACTCCTTGAGTTCATGGATTTCAATCTCATAGCCCTGGACATCAATGTAGTTCAAAAACAACCTTGGTGACAACGCGAACATCAAACGGCAGGGTTCACCTGCAATGCGCGATGGACATCGAACGGCGGGCCATAGTGAAAAATGACTGGATCTCCAGGCGGTGCTCCAGGGTACAAGACATTGTCCGCAAAGACCAGCGCCTGGGAAGACGACGGACTTGGATGGAGAAGAAAAAGCAGACTCGGAGCCCCACATGTTCCGACAAGCTCGGCTCTGCAGCATGAAGGTCCTTAGCTGCCAAAGGCTAGCGCAAACACAAGAGTCTGATCATCAGGCCTCGTGGTAGATCGTCCCTCGGTGATCCTGCTTGTTGTGCGGCTTTCATGCAATTCTAGCGGTCAGAAGGTACAAAGGTAAAAGAGGAACTTAAAGAGAAGGAAACCGAACCAGGCTCGCAGCAATAAAGAAACAAAGCCCGGTCCAGCAACAGGAAATCAATTGTACCAAGCTGTCCCGTGGCCACCCAATCACAGGCACACCTGCCAGTGGCACCGATGAGTTGACCTAAAAAATGTCCTCTAAACCGTCTAAACCCTAACTAAACCCTAACAGGCACCTAAAAGCGATGGCCTCCAACCTAATAGCGATGGCCTGCAAACAGGCCAGGGGCACCCCACCCTGACCTGCACCTCACCCTCCACGCCAGCGAATTGCAGTACCCCACCTTGGCTCAATCCATGTAGAAACGCTGCTGAAGCCAACTCACATCACTTGACTGCTAAGGCCGCTGCGTGCCACGTAGGCATTGGCTGCATCCACCTCGCAGGTGGTCACCTCAGCTCCCCAAGAACCTCCGCAGATCTCTGCAGCACCCCACTTTTGAGGCCACCACGCTACCTCCGCCAAGCTCCCGAAGTTTTTTGGCCATGACCATCGAGGAGTAGCCCACATAACCTCAGAGGAGTTGCCCCTGTGGATAGAAATGATGGGAAAAGGAATGCATTGCACGTCTGCACATTGAACATGTTGAACACACAAGAAAGCCCACTAGTCGCCAGTCTCCTCCTCAGGAGCTGGCAGCCAAACTCCACCACCCTATCCTCCGGTCTCAAACTGGCCTGTGTCAGACAAGGAGCACAGGGCATCCACAGTTCCTGTGTTTTGGATCGGGCAGGCAACAAACGGCGGCCACAACGGCGGTCACTGGCCTCCAGTAGTTCCTTCTTTTGCTCTCCCTGAATCTTCAACCAGCTGCGCTCCTCGCTGCGATGTTATGTCGAGAGGCGGAAATACAAAGAAACCGGTCTTCGGAGTATGTAAAGCAAAAAGCAGAACAGCCTGAACGTGCAGGTTCGTCACTCCTCTGCAAACTCTTCGATGACCTATTCACTATAGAGCGAGTCATCACTTCACTCCACAAATGCTGCGTTTGCTTCGTCTCGTAGTGATACTTGTTCAACAAGTTAGCAACACTCAACGTCGGAAACTGTTCTTCAGAAACTAATCTTCGGAAACTAAGGTACATACCGTAGCCGTCACACCCACCCACCCACACCCACACCCACCCACCCACACCCACCCACCCACACCCACACCCACACCCACACCCACCCACCCACCCAGCCAGTGCTCCTTCAAGCAATTTGTTCACAATAGTGTAAAAGTTCTGAAGAATACTTTTTGAAGCATGCGAATAAGTTTCTTAAGATCACGAAATAGCTTCTGAAGATCGCAAAATAGCTTCTGAAGATCGCGAAATAGTTTCTGAAGATCGCGAAAGATTCTGAAGATCGCGAACTAGTTCCTGAAGATCGCGAAATAGTTTCTGAAGAATAGTTTTTGAAGAGTAGTTGCGGAAGAGTCCAAATAGTTGTGGAAGAAAAGTTTCAGGAGAATGGAGAGTTGCGGAATAGGACTTTGTTCCACTCAACGCGAGACTGCCAAAAACAGCTACTAAAGAGTCCGCACGTGTGTGATTGTTTTTGTGATTGGTGATGGATCGTCAGCTACGTTTACAAACTCTGTGGGTTTTCTGCCAAAAACGTTTACAAGTCTTGGGTTCTCTCGGTTTTCTCGGTCTGCCTGAATCACCGACGCAACGTCTCCCGGAGTCGCACGCTGCCTGATCCAGAGGCAGGAATGCGAATCAAAAGCGTAAACCTCGCCTTGGGAAAGGAAGAAAAAGAATCACGGAAAAAGGCCTATCCAAAATGCTCCGACAAGTGCGAAAGAAAGCCGAATCACCTGATCCATTTATAGAGGCTTACTTCCTTGGGCGCCATGGGCCTGGCTTCAGTGCGAAGGAAATCAGACTTTTTTGGCATTCCATACACCTCACATACAACACACATATATATATATATGCATAAAATTCATTCCTAAAATTCATGGAATCTACCTTCACAGCGCCTGAGGGCTCCAAGGGGGACGGGGCTCCGCACCTGGGCATGAAAAGACCGTTTCTTGGTGGGCCTGGGCGGCCTAGTCTCTAGTCTCTTCACAAGGCATTCATAGCAAGGTATTGAGAGCTTCTAGGAGCTTCTGAGAGCTTGAAGGAAGCTGTTAAGTAAGAGGTATTGGAAGGCCAAAAACTAGGCTCTTTTAGGCATCGTAACTGATGATAGTTAAGTCAAACACCTGCGGCTTTTTGCAAGCTGCCACAAGTAACAAGTATCACAGAAGCTCCATGAATGCATTATGGTCTTTCAAGACATCTACAGACCCCAGACAACCCAGCCAATTTTGATGCGTAAATGAAACTAGTAGGACTGATTTCCATGTCCCATACACAACCTGTTTCACCTGCAAGGTGTGCACGCTGAAATCATGATTCACGATGGTTGAATGACTCGAGGGTTGATGGGGCTCCCCTCGCGTCTTGTAACTGTTGCAGTAACTGGCTGCTGCCGGAACAAGAATGAAATCTGAAATAATTTCACAATAGCTATACAGGTGAGTAGGTTTGAGCGGGTTGGTTTTAGTTGCAACAAACACGAAAGTCTGTTCCAAACATACTGCACCTCCGGAAAGTCCACCGACAGCGTTGCCTCACTCAACACCTGAAAAAGGACACCACAACAACGTTATTTTCAGGCAGAAAAACTACCCACGAATCAAAAAGGATTCGAAGATCGCTGTGAATTAGTTGCACAACTATGAAAGACTTCTGATTGGCCGCCTCAGCTACATTGGAGTTCATCTTTTTCAGCCGCCTGAACTGAGCAGTGTCAAGCCCACGCTCATGGACTCTCTGAGAAGCTTCTCGTTACTAGTAGCTTCTTGTTACTAGTAGTAATGCTCTTTGCTACTAGCGATGCATGTTGTTACTAGTAGCTTCTCTGAGCTTTTCACATCTCGCTGATGATCTCATTGGTGGTGTCAGTGTTCCTGAAGAAAAAGATGCCGCAAGACTCCAGGACCATGACGACATGCAACATTGGTCGACACCATACCTTGTTGAGTATGTTCCAACAATACTGTCTAGTGTAGATTGCATGGTCTTCATGCAAATGCCTGTCGCTTGTACGCTTAAGGCTGGGTAACAGCTAACAGAGTCCTTCCATCTCGGCATGCTTGCGCGGCGCAGGCCAAGGCCACAGCGTCAGCTTCCACCTGCTCAGGCTCTCTGTCCCGAATGCTGTGCTGGTCTTCACTTTGCGACAAGACATGAAAAAGAAGCGTGTGGAGGCCTTGTGATAGCCATGTTCAGTATCATACAAGTATAAGTACCTAGTAAGTACTTTGTTGCACCAAACAACCTCTGTCACATTCCGCAAGGCTGAAACCTGTCACATTTTGCTGCCTGCAAGTCGTCACCTATGCATCCGAAGTGTGTTGCAACAGACCATCGGAATATAATTATTCACGCCACACACCGCCCCTCAAACGCCGTCGGTGTCTGAATCCATGCACAGATCCTCGTATTTGAGAACATCATATAGCTCCTTTCCCCATCGAGCTGACGCACATTGAAGGCAGATCACAAGACAATTGTCCCAGAGCAACTCCCAAGCCTGCATACACTGATGGAAACATTGAGACCATGTAGTCAAGGCAACCCTCATAGGTAGCCAAATTGTATAGTTGGCTTTTGTGGTTTTTGCATCCTTTCATCAGACCAGGACAGCTGTCTGGAGACTGGCAAAGAGTCTCGACTGAGCCAAGCCCAACCATCACTAAAATGATCACGATCATTTGAAGGATGCTCAAGCAACCACCCCAGCAATTGCAGCAGGCGAAGCAGCAAATGCAAGGTCGGTTGTTGCTCTTTGCACCAAGAAAGCCGCAGCATGGAACTATCAATGCCAAGACTAGGGCAAAAGTGCCGACAATCAGTTTTCCGAAGGGACCTTCCAGAATTGATGTTTTGTCCTCCGCCGCCAATTGCTCTTCATGGAACTCTTTCAGCACATTCCAGTCTGACAAGAAAAACACCACAAACTTGACGACCACGAGTCCTGCTGCAGTAGCGGACAAGCACAGAACTCTGTGCGTAAGGGTCCGCATCCGTGCGTTCACAAAGACCATATTGAAAGGATAGTACACCATGGCTTCCACGTGTGACGTCGCCTTTGGCTTCTTTGAGCACAAGGCTGGAGAGCTTTGGTGCAAGAAGCTGCAGAAATGCTGATGTCCTGCATCGATGCCTTTGGCTACTTGTAGGCACGTTACAGTCTGCACAACGATCCAGGGAGAACCGTTGAGACGAGACTCCTTTCATGGCATCCTCTTGCTCAGTGCACTTCTTGGGCACCTCTTCTGAGCGCATACGCTCTAGCAAGGCCAGGCACAATGGCCAGCGGCCAGCTTCCATGCAGGCATACCTAAGGTCGAGTGGAACCCACCTTTCCAGTCCAGCCTCATGGTCACTTAATGTCACTTATTCAAAGGAAGTTTAGTGTGCAAAACTTCCGTGTTACGGACATTCAACAGCTGTTCAACCACCACTCATCATACACCACTCATCATACACCACTCATCATACACCACTCATCATACACCACTCATCATACACCACTCATCATACACTACTTATCATCCAGTTTGCTCTACCTCCAGTTGGCTCTAGTGTCAATGGCTCTAGCTCCAATAAGCTCTTAGTTTCAATAGCTCTAGCTCCAGTTAGCTCCAGGCAACTCCAGCTCCAGGTCCAGATTTCGTGGCAGGCGCAGCACTTTGTGAACCTCCATGTGCAGATTTCGTGGCAGGCACAGCACTTTGCGAACCTCCATGCGCAGATTTCGTGGCAGGTCCTCCATGTGCAGATTTCGTGGCAGGCACAGCACTTTGTGCGCCTCCATGTGCAGATTTCGTGGCAGGCGCAACACAAAATGCGTTGTGGAGAGATAGCGAACGCACGAAATGCTGTATTTTTCAATGGAACCGGTGGCTCCGAAGCTGGCAAGTCAAGGTCTGCGGAACGACGGTTGCGAGACGGTCTCGGGTCATGGTCGGAATCGTCCGTCCATTGGGATTAGAGTTTTCACTTGTTTCTTGAAGTGCAGATTTCGTGGCAGGCACAGCACTTTGTGAACCTGCAAGTGCAGATTTCGTGGCAGGCACAACACTTTGTGAACCTCCATGCGCAGATTTCGTGGCAGGCGCAGCACTTTGTGAACCTCCATGCGCAGATTTCGTGGCAGGTGCAGCACTTTGTGAACCTCCATGCGCAGATGTCGTGGCAGGTGCAGCACTTTGTGAACCTCCATGTACAGATGTCGTGGCAAGCGCAGCACTTTGTGAACCTCCATGTGCAGATTCCGTGGCAGGCGCAGCACTTTGTGAACCTCCAGGTGCAGATTTCGTGGCAGGCACAGCACTTTGTGAACCTCCATGTGCAGATTTCGTGGCAGGCACAGCACTTTGTGAACCTCCATGTGCAGATTTCGTGGCAGGCACAGCATCTGGGGAGCTCAAACCTGAGAACTGGCGACTTTGTAGTACAACTTTAGTAACTTCAGTACGCGGAGCAATCTGTGCAGCTAGAAGCTGAGAACTGGCGACTTCGTAGTACAACTTTAGTACACGGAGTATCTGGCGAGCTGGACGATGAGAACTGGCGACTTTGTAGTACAACTTTAGTACGCGGAGTATCTGTGGAGCTGGAAGCTGCGAACTGGCGACTTTGTAGTACAACTTTAGTACGCGGAGCAATCTGTGCAGCTAGAAGCTGAGAACTGGCGACTTTGTAGTGCAACTTTAGTACGCGGAGTATCTGTGGAGCTGGAAGCTGAGAACTGGCGACTTTCTAGTACAACTTTAGTACGCGGAGCAATCCGTAGAGCTGGAAGCTGAGAACTGGCGACTTTCTAGTACAAC